ACGAAGGGCTAACGCTCGAAACGTCAGCTTTCAAAATCACATTTTTTCAGATTCTGAAGAATACCGGGAGTGTGCGAAGAAGTCAGATTATGAAGTACTGGTTGTTTAGTGGCAATCGGAGTTTTAATTGCCCCGAGCTTATAGTAAACTGGTTTTACTCAACTGTGCTCCTTTTTCTAACGAGAAAAGAGCTAAAAGAATTCTCGCGTGATAATGAAATATCGATTCGGATCGATAATTGCGCTGCCAATTTCCATCCAAAAATATTCCCAAAAGGTCGCTGGAATCGTTTCGTCCCCTGAGCTAATTTTGCATCCGGGAACCTCGCGCGCGGATGACCCAGGGTCGGCTCTAATTGTTATCGCGTTTTACATTACAAAGACAGTTGTGTTTACTTATTGCCATGGACGCCTCGAACTACGACAAATGGTGAACATGTCAAGCATACAAAAATGCCAACACAGAGTAAGAAATCAGTGTCGATAACAACCTCCGAGAGACCTGCGAAACCGAAAAAGAAGAAGAAAAAAGAATCTGGTAGAAACAGTAGGAATTCCTTTAGTAAAACCCCCACATCGGGAGTTGACAGCTCCAGTGAAGGTTTGTTCTAACAGTGTTGTTTGTCTATTACTTTGGTGAAAAGAAACATTTGGATGAATATTCTCATTTGAAAGGGTTCACACTTTCCAGATGCTAAATTTAGAGATTCTTTTCAAGAAGAGAAAGCAACGGTGTGATGAAACTTAAAGGATCTTTATAAAAGTAATACGATTATAAGGTTAATTTTGTGTTCTTCGAAGGAACCCATCAAAAGTCAAGAACGAAGTCACGCTCAGATACAAGTGACGTTACCGAAGGGAAAGTTGTGAGCATTGTAAGTTCAAAGTCATTTTCGTCGAGGACAGAAAACACGTCTTCCAGTAACTGGAGAACAAGCAGTTCTGATGGAAGAAGCACGAGCAGTAGCGGCGAAAACTTCGGCTCAACACTTAATGCAAATTCTGGTTTAGACACGCGGTACAACGAAGTGAACGATCTAACAACACGTACAGAGTTAACTCAAGTGAACGAGAGTTTAAGATGGGATTTAACAGATTGCGATGACCCAGATGAAGAAGAGGAGAGATTAAGGATTTATAAATTACACAGAAGAAAAAGATACATGGATTTCTTTCATAAACGAACTGGCGGCGAAGCGCAAAGTAGCCAGTTTTATGGGTAGCGAATTCGATCGACAATGTACAAAGCTTGTGATTGTAATCGAAAATTATTTAAAGTACCGAATACGTTCGAATCTCTCTCAAAGAGAATTCAATATTGCTTGATCAATAAGCCAAAACTTGTTATCGAATTTCAACATTTTTAGGAAAAGATGGCTTAAATATTTATGAACAAAGTTCGAAAGAACAATTAGCGAGAATCAGCTAAGCTATTTAATCCCCAATTTATTCACACTCGAATATCAACTTTTAAACCACGTAAATAGTACATTTGTTACTATTTTGTACATGATTTCAACAAAACAGACCAACTCTCGCCTGCAGAGATCTTTTACTTTAAATCGAAAGTTACCTTACATTGGCTTACAGAGAATTACTGTAGTAGGTTTCAAAGGAGGATTAATTAGTATACCCCAGACCTAGGAGATTATTTGTTTTACTGGACTTTTTATTCCCAAGGGCTAGTTCGTGCGTGTACCACAATTTCATGTCCATAACATTTGTAAATATTGAAAATATTCTAGTGTCTTAAGAAGTGTTGAGTGAATTAATAAGAGTTAGTGCAAAGCGATGGTAGGAGTTTTAAATAACAAACAAACTCCCAGTCGTCTTTGACTGAAGGAGATTTGAATGACAACAACAACAACAGCAACAAAAGTGGAATTGTACTTCGTGTCAAACAAGTATTTGTGATGGTAGGCCAGAGAGGACGAAGATTGAATTTCCTACACAAATCTATTGTCTGTAGTCGCCACGTTTTTTCAAACCGTCATCAGAAGCGTCAGAAAGCAACTACATCTGGACAGACTGTGCGTCTTGTGATTTCCAGCCTGATTATGTTATACAATTTTTGTTTTGTTTTTATTCTATATTTCTTTACCTTTGTACCATAAAAATTTTGTTTAATGCTGGCCTCGAGACTTCCAAGACATAGTCTGTAAATCCTAAAAAAATATATTTATCCTAAATTTATCCTAAATTTTTTTTTTAAGTTCATCATCTGTAATCCGTGTGTTAGCCTTCGAGATTCTTTCTGAACCATCTGCGATTCCTTGTTTGCATGATTCTAATTACGTTGATTTTCAAAACTTTCTGGAAGTGAGAGACTCTTTAATGGATGGCTGATAGAAAAACTGTGCAGCACGTTATGCGGGTCAATCAGATAACATTGCTGTTTTCTTCAGCTAATCAAGTGGAATCAAAGTTTTCCTCGCGTGCAGTTATCACGCACATGACACGCGTATCGCACGATTGGCTCTCTGGTCGATTAACGTGAAGCTGGGGAAGGCAAATAAAAAACCGACATCGGGAATTTCACGAAGATGAGGTTTCACTTGTTAGCGCAAACAGGGTAATTTGTTATGATTTTCTCGGCTTTCAAGTATATAATGACTTCAGCATTGGTGATTTAACAAGCCAACACGACTCCTATAATGATGCGCATCAGAAGCAAATGACTATAGGTAATGAGCCTCTGTGCACATCAAGCATTTAGAAACAGAGACATCTAACACACAGCTAACATCAAGACTCTAACAATTTTGAGACTAACTTCGTATAGGATTTCTTCCTGCAGTGAAAGAGTGGGAAAGAGGAAGGAGTTTTAAAGATCGCTAGACAATTGAAAAACGACCCAAGTGTTGCATTCATTTTACCGTTGATTTATTTCATACTAACCTATTCATGGAAAATATGTACATTGATGCCCTAAATAATGAGAGAAATAAGTTATTACTGACGAACTTTTTAAGTCCGTTCTCATATTTTTATTTATATGTGATAACGACCATTCTTTTGACAGGAATAGACTGGTAAACTTGCGATAAGTGTGGAAACTCAGTTCGTAACTGTGGCCCTCCTACTCTTTGAAAAATCCTAAGTACGCCCCTGAGTGATATTTATTCATGTATCCAGCAATATCGAAAGCGTCCTTGAGGAGGCAGAGTTTTGTCTCCTGTGATTTCCCGAAACCAACAGTAGCGGTTATCAAATCACACTTCCACTCTGAACAGGACTCGCTCTGCACTGCATCAGTAAATAACCTCCTGATGCATTTGAATTTGACGAAAAAGCAATTAAACCAGATTTAGAATTTCGCACCGAGCCTTTAATTAGAAAGTAAGTTGTATTCTATAACCAATATACCAGACCAGGATGAATTGATTTCCAGTTTACAACAGTAAAATACCTTAGGTGACAAAAAACCCGTCAAGTAGCTAACGCTGATTTTAGAAAATATCTTCTGACCAAAATTTGATCAACAAGAACAGAATCTGCGTCAGTTCTATTCACGAAGAAAGAGTAAACGAGTGGTTCGCCAAGATTTTTCATAAAGTCGAATATTGCAAACATTCCGTAAACAAGAGTTACTTTTGCTTTTCTAAAGAGCATTCAAAATATATTTCTTAAACTAAGCTAAACTAAAAGTAAATTTCTTGCGGTATATTTTCCATCCAAGGTAATTCTTCCACAGGCAAATTTACCACCCAGATATCAAATAAAGTACTGCTACTCTGGAATCTGGAATGGTTATTTCTACAAATTAAAGGACATGTTAATGGATTATCATATATAACAATACCACACAACCGCGTTTGTCCAACGTTCTGCCACAGAATTTAAAAACAAAGGTAGCAAGTGATTTCAACACTACAAAAAGAGAAATTTCTAAGAATGGTAGAGTCATGAAGCTCTTTCTGGGCATGAATTTGTATTTAGCTCCGTACTAAGCTTTTTTCACGACCGTGTTTTTTTTTTGACCAACCCAAAAATTTTGTCAGCTCAATTCTTCATTTATTTTGGATTAATTTGTTTTGGATTACGTTTTAGCAAAACGGTATCTGATTAACACATGGCCGTAAGCGAAGTTGGCGTTTTCAAGTAAACCCATCAAATATTATAAAATCTGAAATATAACAGGATTTGTTCGTAGCCTTGAAGTGCTTTCAGCGCGATCGTGTGACGTCACAAGGTGTGAGATATCTCAGTACTGAATTAAACATCGTCAATTTGCGATTTGCAAATTCAACGTCTGCCAGCATTGTTACTCGAAATTAATATTTAAGTCGGGGACCGAACGTTATTCAGCAAAGTTATCTATCAAGAACGGTCCTTCAATGTTATTTGTTCGGCGAAATCTGTAATCAAACTGCAGAGAGCCATGTACAGGAACAGGTTGGATAGAAGTGGATTTTATCAGCCTTACACAAACAGATCAACGACTCATGTACAAGCTAGTCGCGCTAAAGATGCAGTCAGACTGATCCCTGAGAAATATTCAGACGGTATTTGTTTGTACACTCTGGGCCCGTCACAAGTGTACACTTACCAATATAGCATGAAGAAAACTTCCACAAAAACATACGTCTGCGAAATATTATTCTACCCGAAAGTGGTGAATAAAAAGCACATCTCTGCTGTGGTCCACTATCCCGCAAGGAACAACGCTAAACCGCATACATATTACAAAAACATTCTATGTTTTGTGCCGAGATGCTTGGACCATTATCAGACGAAAAAGATTGTGACCGAACCGAGACTTGAGGAAATATATAAAACAGTGCTATATCATCAGCCCCCCAAGCGTGTACGGGAATATTCATCTTCTTTGCATATGGTACCAAAAACGTTCGACACTGTTCGATGAATTCTTTTTTTTTTTTTTTTAATCTGATTTCGTCCGTCGACAAGACTAGATCTTAAATTATTCCTTTTTTATTACAAATGAGAAGCATCCGCGATGTTTTGAAAACTTTTGCCAGTGATTCCATTAATGATTTATCTTAGGCCGCAACATTCATTTTTAAGAAGGATCCAACCGCAGATTGCGACTACAAGAACAGAACCTAAGATGGTAGACATCGATCAGTGATAATGATGAATCTAAAACCTAACTAGCCGAATATTCAACCAGCGACATTATTTACATTGGATGACAACGAAGTAAACTTTAAAATTTTTGATGATTGTAAATTTTTTTTATTACAGGAATAAGTGAAAGGTATTAAACGGTGTTTTGCGGATAGAGCGTTCGTTTTTTCATGGTATGAATATCTTGTAAAATACGACATACAGATAGGAAATAATTTTCATTTGTCCGCAAGATGACACTACCATAGCTATGATCTGGGTAAGAAAACAGAGAAAGATATTTGACAGATAATACAAACAAACTTGGCAACCGTGATCTTCAGTCGCCGACTATTTGCATTCGTCTCAATACTTAAACTCAACATTCGTACGCTTTTAATTTTTGAATATAGAACATTGTTTGTGGAACCGAAATCCCAGCGATAAACTCAGGTTTTGAAATAAAAAAGGGAAAATCTATTTTTGACTAGTAATTAATTCCAAAAAATGTTAAATTACAAACGGTGGAGAAACTCCAATATATTCCCGAGAGGTGTTTATCATTCAAAATTAAGGGACAAAGAGCGGAAATACTAAGATGCACCTGCCCAAGCTTTGTGTAACGAGTCTAATTTTTCAAATGCAAATGAAAAAAAACACTTCTCACTCAAATTTTTTCAAAATCGTTGTCATCAAGCAATTGATGCTCCCTAGGTTAGCGGCACGAATTACCACGAACAACCTTTGAAATTGTGATTTACGAGTTGTTCCAAACCCTGAAAATAAACTGAAATTACAAACAAAGATATTAGAGAAAGTTGTTATCTCAAAATGTTCCGTTAACCTCTCCGGTTTGTAATAAATAAATCCTCAAGGTTTTAAAACATCCAACAATGATAAGAATGCGTAAACTTTCATAGAAACTAAGTTTGGACAGGCCCAGCTGTCTCTGAACTGAGCTCCATTATGGTACGATCTTCTCCTTCCTCTCGTCCTTGCCTCGTCATGCAGGAGCGTAAGCGGCATTTTCCAGGAGGTTGGGCCTAATAGGGCACTTTTCCTGATAAAAATGGATCACCCACATCCAAGGATCCCTTGAGCTGTGCCCAGACTCCGGCAGGCTGTGCCAGACGACTTACAAGGTGGAAATCCAGTCCCATCTTGAAAACAACTGTAGCATGCTGATTTGAAGTGATCTTGGCGGAAGACTCCTCACCGTGGGTGAACAGCAATGTTTGAATCTTTTAAATAGTCTGCTATGGCGTCCAGAATCTCTAGGAGTAGATCTCGGCTTAGTCTCCTGAGGTTTGGAGATTTGGCGACCTTCAGTGGGCAACGAAGGTAGAGATAAAGCAGAATCAGTTTACAATGACCAAATTTTCAAATGCACGATAAAGGAAGTGTAAGATAATAACTGAAAACCCACTATAGAACAATTATACTATTTGGCTATCACGAGAAAACGAAAAAAATGATGAAAACAGTCAGCTGATGCAACATGAAGCGCACTAGGATGTTAAATGGTAATAACAATAGTATGATCTTAGCTAACAACGAAGATGAAAAAAGAGCCCCGGAGGTAGCAGCGTTTTGAGCTGTTTCGACATTATTAGGCCTCCTTAGTCAGCATGGTAAAGTTGACAAGATGAGTTATGATTTCAGACGCAAAAAAGTGGAAAGAAACAGAGTATGGGAAGAGTTCAGACCATGTACTTGCTTGTTG